AAAATACTATACCAATAAGTTCCTGAGAAGTGTGTACAAAGAGCACATTTAAATGGTGGTGGCTGGAGGAGAAGCAGTAGAACAGAACTCTAAACCTTGGATTGGAATCTGACTAAAATGAAAGTGTGAACCTCCTGCATGGCAGGCAGGGATCCTTCCACTGCACCACAACCAATTGAAAGAATGGTTGCAGAACGGTGGTCAGTGTTTTTGTTAATGGAGAAAATGAACAAACACCTCAGACAGTGAACCTCTTTATTCCAGTTGATTTAAACACAGTTGATGTAACAGTATAACATGTTTCTAAGACTGTGATGATGTCAGCTGTTTGATTGACACTGAGTAGAAATACTTTAAAAAATACAGTTTTACTAAAGCACACTGGGCTCTGCGAATGAAGCAGACTTCAGATCAGTTTAAACAGAGTTGAATATGATTGTGTAAAAACTAGTACTGAAATCAGAGCCTTTGATGTCTGAAATGAACTGATGATGAAGAAGAAATGACCATGTAACCTGTTTTTCTTTTATCTTTCTGTTCATTCTCCTTCTATTTCCTGTTCATTTTATTTTATTACTGCACATTCATTGTTTTAATCACATTTCTACTCCCCTTCAAATTCACATTTGATTGTTTTTTTCTGTCCATTTCACATGCTCCGGGACTTCCTTCATGTGCAGAACCTGGAACAGGTCCAACAGTGTCTGAACAGCCTCCTGAACGAGGACCTGGCCCATAAACAACTGCCTGGACAATCTATTGAAATCTCTGCCCTGGACATTAGCAGCATGCAGCCCAGCCAGTCCCTGGAGGCGCTGTCCGCTCGGGACTACTCTTGTGGACCACGGCCTATCTCTGTGACCACCTTCCTTCAGGAAGGCCATGGGACGGGAAGGACACTGGGTGCAGCAGCTGGCAGGACCTTGCCTTTGCAGTGCCACCATGCCCTCAATCCGCTGCAAACACAGGGCGCCCAACAGGGTCCTCTTCCAGCTGAGCCCAGTCAAGATGCACATGCCGATGGCCTACCAACCAGTGCCAGGAGGACCAATCCCAGAAGGCAGTGAGCCCGGACACGGGACTCCAGTCTGACCAGGAGATTCAGCCACAGACACGTAAGCTCACTGGCAATACTCCAGAAGTACACTGAGGGAGGAGAATGTGAAAATATAGAAATAAACAGTAAAAAAAAAAAAGGATCATTATACCCTGTGGTAGTCAGTGGGACGAAACACTGAGTGTCAGACTTAAATGTACATATTTGTAAGTACAAAGAGAGATAGAAGCATCATTACAAAGTGTATTTTGAATAGTCACAACAGTTGAGTTTAGAAAATATAAAAGTACTACAAAAAATAAAAACAAAGAACAACTAAATGGCTTTGTAAAATTTATTCTAAATGAATAAAGGTGACAATTCT